GAGCACTTCATAAGTGCTTACCTTGTGCTTAACCAATGTTACTCTTATTTAAATAGACTAAAAAGTGACATTCCTGGTTTATGAAAGCAACTCTACATGTCCTTTGCCTTAAATTCACACCTTTGTTGTTTTACACTCACTTTTTTGGCAGCATGATTATACAGTCCCTATGTGTTCACCTGCTTTGAGGCCTCTGGTTAAAAAAAAAATATTAATTAGCCCATGACAGTTTCTTTATCAAGAAAATGAAAGCTTTGCTCAGTAGTCTCACAATTAGTATCATTAGTTAGCATCGTAACATATAACACATAAAAAAGTAGCAGTCCAAAATAAAACACTTCTCATCATTGGTATTTCACAGTTCTTCAGCTTCAATAAGAAATTTGACACTAAATTATTAACGAATGCTCAGTCTATACCTTTTTATAATATGCTGTACTTTTTAAAAAGATGCTTAAGTGATAGAAGCAATCAGTAAGAATTAGAAAAGGAATTTTCCAATTCCAACCTTCATCCAGCTCAGGTAAGAGTGAGTAAGAGCCTTCTGGGCAGGTGTCATGGTTTGACGCTAGCTAAGCACCAGGTACTCACAAAAATAATTTCCTTACTCTCTTCTGCTACAGCTGGCCAAAGAAGAGAAGGAAAAAACTTAGGTTGAGATAAGGACCATGAGGAAACACTCTAAGGGCAAAACAGGCTCAAATTTAAAAGATATAATGAAAAAAAAATATTAACAGAATTAAAGAAGGATAATGATAACTAAAATAAACTTTGAGAACACCTGAACACCTTTTTCTCCCTTCTCATCCCTCCCCCCTTCCCACCAACAACACAGGGAGACATGTTGGGAGTTGTAGTCAGTTTTTTACTCAAAATCTTTCTTCAGTTTGCTTAGGGATAGGAATTTCTTCTGCTATTCCATACAGTACTTCCCCACAGTTCTCTGGGAACTTCTCCAGGGTAGAGAAGTCTAATTTTGAGGAGTAGCAGTCGTGCCCAACCTGCTGTAATGGGAATCCCACCCACGGGCAAAACAGCCCTTCCCAAAACTGTTTTGCATGTGTCATTAGTTCATGGGGTATAGTCTTTTAAGGATAGGCTGTTCTAGTTTGGAAGCAAGGCTACTCTTTCTCTATTTCTGGAAGCAAGGGTCTTCTCTCTCTGTTCAAGTCTCCCACTAGATTACAGCTTTTCAGCATCCACCCATTTCAGCATAAGCACCCTTTCCCACAGGCTGTGAGTGGCTTTCTGCATCTCCCCATACACTTCATGAATTACAGAGAGACTGTTTGTACCATTATAGTCCTCAGGACAGCTTGCAAAAGAATCTCAGCTCTGATGTTTGGAGCACCTCCTCCCCTCCTTCTTTTCACTGGCCTTTGTGTTGCCATGTTGTATTTCTCCACATGTCCTCCCTTTCTCGTCTTTCTCCAAGAGGAAAAATACTGCTGCTCGTAAGTACCACTGCCAACAAACTCCACCAGTTCAAAGATTTCTGCAGAACTTTGCAGTGCTGAGAAGCTCATTTTGTCCAGATGCCATGTCAGGGAATAGCTCATCAATGCCCTCACCACCACCACACAGGTGATGCTGGCTGCCGTGGCACTGAAAAGGAGAAACTGCTGCCACCACCGCTGCCCTCCTGCCCTCAGCACGGCTGGCTGAAAGTGACAGAGCAGGGACAGTTCACCGTGGAGCATGCTGAGATGGCTGTGGCCACGGCAGCCGCATGGCCACACTGTGGCGTTGGGAAAGGGAAGCCACGGCCGCTGCTGCTGCCTTTGTGTCCGCAGTGTGACCGACCAGGAGTGACCAGGCAGGCCCAGCCCGCCACTGGCTGTGCCGAGATGGCGGCGGCCATGCGGCAGTGACGGCCACGTGGCTGCTCGCGGTGCCAGGATGGCCTTGGCCGTGGCACCTCCCCGCTCCTCGGAAAAGTTGCCGTGTTTTTTATTTCTTTCTCAAACATGTCATCACAGAGGTGTTACCAACTTCTCTAAGTGGCTTAACAGCATGTCTGTTGTCAGAGCCACTCAGGGTTTGGCTTCACCAGGCACAGAGGAAGCTTCTAGTAGCTTCTCACAGAAAATCACTTTTGTGACTGGCTTCTTCCCTCCTCACCAAAAACTAAGCCATGCAAAACCAACACAAGTTAATTTTGCAGGCATCCAAATAAGAGAAGGGTGGCAGAGATTATTAATGAGGCGCACTTTATACCGAGTATTTATATTACACTTTGTATTGAGTAATTCAGATATTTTAAAACACTAAGGCTCACCAACCTATTATTTTGGCCCCTCAAATTGACAGTTTTATACAATCCCCTAAAAATGTTTTACAGATACAGTCCTAATGTGTGCGATCAGAAACTTTCATTGTTATTGTTTGAGCAAAATTTTAACTGCTGCTAATTTGGCTAAAATTATATGAAGCTTGCAAGCAAAATATATGGTTCAGTTACAATTGGAAATGCTCAACTGCCCACAAGCTATGGTCATGCATGTCAAAAAATAAGTATATTGAAAGTTAAATGGAAATTGCTAAATGAGCATAGTAGTAACCGAATAAAATACTTTTTTTAATATGGAAACAGAGGTTATGTATTGTAAAATCAACATTAACCTTTAGACAATTTATTAAAAGTACGTATTTTAATATCTTAATTGCAGGGTGGATAACTGGCTACTTAAGAAGAAGATATATGTTGTGGCAGACAACTAAACATAACAATACAGGTAAACTGGGGGTATGGTGAAACCTACTTTTTTGTGTGACGAGTAAGTTCAAGGTAAGCTTATTTGCCTATTTCTGGAATTATAGATGCTAAGATCAGTTCACTGATGAGTCCTAAGTACTGCTGGTAGAAAGCCCACACAGCTTCCATCCTAACTGTGATATTAAATTGTTATTGACATCCCAAATGGCACACAAGACAGGATAAAAACTGTCACTTTTTTCTCCTGCCTCCACACTTGTTTAGTGTTAAAATGGATTTCAGGTACAGAGTGGTTTTAAAATCCCTTGAGCCAGAAAGTACAGAAAAGAAAAACTGAGTTTTATTTTAAACTACAAGGAAAATATTAAAAAAAAAAAAAAAAAAAAAAAAAAAAAAAAAACAAGAAAATTCACTATGAATTTTCAGTTTGTCTGAAGATTTAAGTTTAAGCATATGCACTTATGGTCCAGCCTTGTGACTACAGCTGCATCCACAAATCCCCAATCAATACCAACTCACATGTCTAATGGAATAATAAAATGCAGTGAATCCTTTTTTAAAATTATTTTATAATGTACTGGAAAAGTTTTTACTTCCTAATTTTTGCTGCTGTCTTCTGTGAAAGACAGAAGTTACTATCTTATATGAATTTACATTCCTAAAAATAAATTTCATCTCACATCAGATGTTTTTAAGCTCCTCTTGTTCTCTTCTAACCATAATCCCTTTGTGCCTCAACTGTTTTTGTGGGACACTGGGTATTGCTTTGGCCCCAATGCCTCAATGTTTTTATTTGCATAGAGCTGATTTGGGATGAAACTGCAGTGAAAATGCCTGCTCAAGTAGAATGTGACTCTTTTCCCTTTTAAAAGTTTTGCTAGTCAGAGAAATTGCTGCTGTTAGAGTACTAGAAGGGCTAAAACTTTGAAAAAAATAAGCATTATTACAGCACTACAGACATTCAAATCTCCTTGGGGATGGTCAATACAGTAAAGTGGGTGCAGTAATAGTGGCTTTGATTTCTTAGTTATTCTTAGTGCAAAAATACTCATTTTTCTCTTTTTTAGACAAAAAAAAGTTCATTGAACAGTTTTCTCTTATTTCTTCTCCTCTTTTCTACCATTATCAGCTGCATGGAAATAATGATTATACTGACACTGAAGATGCAAAGACCATGCATAAAAAATTATCCAAATATTTTATAAACTGATGTAAGTACATGGCATTCCATTTATTTCAGAGGAATAATGGGGGTTATCTAACATAGAATTAGTTCAATCCCTTGCTGCACTCATTGTGTAGAAACCAAAATCTCAGTGAGATCAGTGAAAAGACTCTAAGGGTCTGAGTATATGTATTGAATACATGATTTTGCTAAAAGCATGTACTAAATTTATGAAACACTACATCAAAGACAGCAGAGAAAAATTAGTTGTTAATGACCATTTTTCAGTCTTAAGGCATATGTTTTTCTCTGGTATCCCCTTCTCCAATCTGTCTTGTAGCCTGATTTGCCTGGGCACAAAAGAAAATTTTTTTTCTTTCTTTACTTTATGCTAATGTGTTGCACATTCTTCTTAATGATAAATACAGCTAGATTTTCATAGCATATGAATTGAAGGAGAAAAAAGCCAGACCATTAAGGGGATGCTAAATTCAGATACAGACTGATCATATAACTAAAACCTGTAACTAAGCACTAAATCTAAGGACAACAAGGAAACCAATTTCTTCTGTATTTACTTTGTGCAAGCTTTGCCTTCATCTGCTGTGAAGAAAAATATCCCATGTAAATACTATCATACAGGTATACTTGCAAGCAAAAGTTAAGGCTGAAAAGGAATTCTACCATAACACCAAAGTAATGCGGTGTTACAGAAGAAGGTCTTGAATATAAACCGTAAAGACTATAGAATCCTTTTTAAACCATAAAGGATTTAAACCATATTTTAACCTTCGTAGTTTAATTCCAAAACAGTGGGTTTAACTGCATTTGTACAGCTTAGTATATTAACATATTAGCATAAAATTTAAACATGTAAAAGTAATAAAAATGCTGCAAGATACTAATTTTATGTTCTGCCTATGTGGTATTTTTTTTGGATGCCATGAAAAGATAGAGCTTTTCAGCTAACCAGATGTGTTTAAAATTTCTTTTTTCATTGGAGGGGAATGTGTAAGTGGGTAAATATTCTGGGTTCCCCTTACCATTACCTTGACAGAATGCATGTGTCTCCAGAAGCCTTATTTCAGTGTAACCATGTAGACACATTTGTATACTTACTTGCCTTTTCTGTTTAGATTCAGTTTGTTAGATTTCCTGTAAATGAAAAAGTTGGGAAGTAAATATTTAGCATTCTACATAATATTGTTCTCCTGGTTTCACAGAAATTCAGAAACAATTACTTCTTTCAAATGTTTCTCATATCCCATTTACCAAAATTAGTCCGCTTTAGCAGCTTTCAGGAAAGATAGTGACCATCAGCATCATGAAGAAATGGGAACTATTTAGTCCTATTAAAATTCCTACTAAAATTGAGAGGATATTATCTTTCTCCAAAATGGTCACCAAAATGGTCACTATGGGCTTTTCTTCCATAAAGGTTTAGAGAAGTGGAACATTAAAAAAATTAAATTCAATTTCATATCATGATTTTGTTCTTTGATATGTATATTTAAAAATCAAATTTGGCCCAGAACTATTTAACCAGTACTTAGTTCTACAGCTCTGTGTTATCCTAACATCCTAACACTAACATAATTAAAACTGCACAATTTTAACAAGTTTCCTTTTGTTTTCAAATCAAAAACCTATAATCAATTGATCTATGTGACAGGTATCACAGGTCCTGTGGTCTAGTTTTAGTGACTGCTGCAACCTGAAGAAGAGAGATCTCTCTCTCTCTCCAGTACCTGAAGTATAAATCTTATACACAATTTTATGCACTGGACTTACCAGTTATCAGTATGTTCATCAATGTCAGACTGGGAGAAGGTTAGTGGAATGAAATTTAAATGCCTGTAATGATAAAATTTCAGAGAATTCGTTAGTATGATTTTTGGCCTGGGCCAATTACTTCCTAAGAAAAGATTCTATGCATATTTCAGAAGTTAGCAGAAATATGCTAGTTACAGACTAAGATAATTTCATAGAATGGATGTAGTCAAATTCTGCCAGCTGAACTCAGAACTGGAGAAAAACTCTGGAACTGCTCTGATTCATATAAATATATCTATGAATAAATATTAATAACTCCTTTTTCCTGTACTTTTCAAAACTGAAAAAGGAAAGAGTATAGTTAAAGTGTATTCTTGGTACAGTGGCACCTTGATTCTAAGGGCAAGTCTTAGTAATTTCTTAAAATGCTGAGAATTGCATTGGTATGAATTGTAGGGAGTCAAAAATTGCCCTTCTTCCCAAATATACCTGGTATAAGATGGTGTAAAGCCCTGGTCCTTGCTTGGCAAATTTATTTAAAAGGGGCTTAAGCTAAAACCTTTCCTTGAGGCAGTGCAAAGGAAAACTCAACAAAAGTTCTCATGAGTTTAAAAGAGCTCAGACTTTACTGACAAGCTTTAGAACATCAGCAGCTTAGCAAAATTTAAAGCAAATCCTCAACTGAGATAAAGAATTTTGCAAAGCATTGACTAGCAAACTCTAACCTATCCAACCTTAAACTACCCAGATTTCAAGAGGAGATTACAAGAACAAAAAGAGAGAAAGAGAGGAAAAGAGAGAGAAAAGCAAGATATGCCTACAGCCTTGGATCCAGGGTGTCTGCTGCCACAAAATCAAGTACAATAGGGATATGACCACGTGAGTGTCTATGCAGTGTTTTTTATCTGCTCTGGCCTCCTGTGGGATATGGAGCAGTGCACACTCCCTTGGCATGGATCTTGCCCTGCCCACTCCAACACACACATTCTTTGGTTGCTTTGAGCCAGTAATCATTTCTTCCAGTCTCGCACAGATGATAAGAGGGAAAATTTATCTGAAAATACTTTCATTTAAATATTATCTCATCACATGCTTTTTGTACCTTTTTAACAGGGGGCCTTGGTACCATTATTTTGTGATTCTGCATTGAAAATGTAATGGTGTCTTTTCCTGCTTTCATAACACCTTGAGATTTCTGAAATTCTGAACCCATCCTCCTCATTCATGTTTATTTAAGATACACAATTTTATTTTAAGGAGGCAGAACTCAGTATCAGCCATGATACAAAAAAACTGTGGTTTTGTTTGTTGGAGTTTTTTTCCTAATCCCCAAATATTTTTTTATCAGTTGTACAGCAGTATAACAATGTTTCTTCCACTGGGAAAAAAACAGCACTTACAGTGATTGCTAGACAGACCTTCCTTTTGTACCTCACCGTATTTTATTTTGGTACGATGTCATGTCCAGTGCATAGCGAAACCCACAAATCTGGTCTGACCCCTCATTGATGTTAATCAGATGCTTGAGATAAAGAGGACTGGAAATCATTGAAACCCTTTGATAGAACGTGGCAAAGACAGGGTTGTGGTCTCTATTTTGAGTCTGAGGCGTGGAGCAAAGGCCATGTCAGGCTTTGTCAAAACAGAGCTAAACAGATGGGTAAGCAAGGTAAAGTGTAACAGCCAAAACTCTTGATGAGCAAATCAACATCTTGGGCTACTTAAAACTGCTGTTTGGGGTGGGGGGTTTATTTTCAGTTGTGCTACCTGCAGTACACAGAGAAACCCTCAGAATGACTCTGTGGGACACTGCTGATCCCTTGTCCTGGTAGTAAAATGTGCACATTGGTTTCAGTCACTGTGCTTTCACACAGGCAAGCTGCTCATGACAGGGGGCAGAGAATGGCTGGCTGGCTCCACAGAACAACATTATTTATGGGTTCCCTGTGCTTCAAATAAAAATATCAGTAAAATCCTTTTACTGCACCTGATTCTTCTGTAAGTGGAAGATTTGCAGCTTATTTTGCAATGGAGAATGTGAGAAATGGGCATGTAACAGATATTTTTTCTTCTCAATCTTTAATCATAACAACGGACAATTACTGACCTTCAACCCTGAGTGTGTTATTTTCCTAATGCTCAGCTGTTTGTTTTTTTCTCCCTGTTCCCATGTTCTATTAAACAGTTACTATATAAAGCAATGATTTCAGAAGAAAAGAAAGTAATGACTTTGAAAGGCACCCTTCAAAATAGTTTCACTCCCACTGAATTCAGAAAGCGTTTTTGTCCCAGAAGATCTGAACAGTGCTGTAGGCTGATTCAATTTGTTTTAAAGTTACTGAGTATCCAAAACAGTTCCTTGACAAGAAGGAAGGGATTTACCCTTCTGTCTTTCTTTGCACTGTATGCACAATAGTACATTTTTTCTCTTAACCTTTGATCCAATATTTTGGGAGTTTTTTTTTTTTTTTTGCTTCTTTTCTACTGTGTGATTTATCTGACACCTCCCTCTGTGCTCTCTTCACACCACATACAAATCCAATACTGACAAGCCAGCACAGTTTAAATTATTCACGCTTCAGTGTACGTGAGCTGCAGTGCAACAATCAGCCGAGCAATCATTCCTTTCATTGCTCTTTTCTGAACTTATTGACACAAAATTGCAAGAAGACAAGAATGCTGGGTTGCTAACAAAGGCCTGAGTCTAAGTAAAATAATTTTCTTATAAGCAAACAAACAAAAAAACCTTAGCAAGAATTGTAGTAAATGTATGAACACATAAATAAACAAAATTTTAATATTAGAAGACTGTGTAGCAATTATTCAGAACTATTTTACCTATCTGATATGATAGCATAATCACAAAAAAAAATCAAAATCTCTTTTGTTTTCTAAAAAGTTGCAAGATCATCACAGCAAGATCATTTAACAGACTTCTGGTATACCTGTCAGAGGTAAAGTCAAGCTAGTAGGGACTGTAAAGGAGGACAGGAAACAATTCTATCTCTTATGCTCTTCCATAGAAGAAACAGAAATCTTCTTTTCCCCTTTCTTTTCTTTGCTTTTATAATTGCTTTTCTTTTCTAGAAAGCCATTGGCAAGGAAAACTCTGTTAATTGCTTCATGGTTACAGCTTGAAGTTAAAAGTATTGCAAATAATCTATATGGGACTAATTCCCTCTGGTAATTTTAAAAGCTGAAGTTTAGTCCTTTTACAAGAAATGTACAGTTTTAGTAGCTTCTCTCTGTGTTTCAGGATTACAAGGAAGTGGCAGTTGTTGATTGTCCTACCTTCAAAGAGTAAAATCACACCCTGAGCTCCTTGTAGGGCTCTTCTTCAATCTTGTCTCTTACAGAGTGTTCAGCCCAGACAAACAGCAAAGGATATTGTACTGCTAACAATTCCTTTTCCCCATTCTAACACTACATTAGGTCACTGTCAGGTCTCCTTGACAGCCTTGTAGAAGTAGAGGGGATCAAACTCACACAAATGTTTACAAAGTATTTTAAAGTAACAAGCTATTCAAAAATTATCACAGAAGATATTCAAAAAATAGGGATTCAGTTGGTGTGAAATTATACTGCTTTCAAGAACATTCATTCACTGTTATTTCAGGAATCGGGAGGGAAGGATGGGTGACAAGGAGGGTATTTTCAAGCAGTTTGACATGCTGTCTTTACAAAAACAAAGATATTGATTAGATGACTGCCTTTCATGTGAACAGAGCAGGATTTGGAAATGCTCCTATTCAGGTTTAGATTCCATGCTAAATTCCATGCTCAGTGGAATGCCAGAAGTCTAATCTGAGTACTACCTGAGTTTTCCCTGAAGAGCAGATATCAAGTACCAGACACAGGCCTGAACAGTATTTTATGTATGGACACAGGGAAGCATGGATCACATTTGCTGAAGTCTGAGAGCACAAGCTAAGCTGCTGCATGGCCAAAGGGTTTTATATTTTCCCAATAGATCTGAGCACTTCTGGCTGAGGCACTGTTTAGCAACAGAAGGAAATACTTCTGATCCATATGTTTGTAGTTAACAAATATGTCACTGGATTCTCTTGCTTGGACTCAGATGGGTTCTCCCAGGAATGCCCCTCATGAGAACAGAGAGCTTACTTCAAAAGAACCAGGCCAGAACTGTCTGGCCTTGGCAACATGGAGCACCTCTTAATGTGGAAAACGAGCTCCTGTGCTGCAAAGAGCACAGTTAGCTCGTTTCAACTTAGCTCTGCACTGCTGCCTGGGAAGCATAGGTTATTTCCAGCTGTGCTAGATGCCAGCAGTAGCTATTCTAAGTTTGTTCTGATATATTTCTCTGGGCCTAACTCTTTCCATTTCAGGGAAAGTAGGTGTTCTAAACCATCTGGTGAGATAATCTGATAATGATGGCTTAAATTCTTCTCTTAGGCACCCACAAATTGTACAATTATCATAAATAATTGTACAATTATCATTATTGCCTGTGTTACCATCCACATTATTTTGACCTCTATCCAAGCTGATCATATCGGAAGGGCCTTATTCCTTTATAAACAAATGAGAGACAGTGAATCAATGGTGCTGCACTTGGGATGTCCTGACCCATATTTCACTGGGACTGTTATCACCATGAATATATTTTGGTTCTGCTAAACAAAGAGTAGAATGCACATTTCCAAGAAACACTCAGGAAAGCATGGGAAATCATCCTTCTGTCTTGCCTTGCTGAGAGATCTCAGTCAGTAGCATGAGACCCATTTAGAAGATGCAATATCCCAGAAAATTGGAGTATATTGCATAAGGGAAATAAGTGCAAACTAAGAGGAATCACAGTATTTTCTTAATCTGGTCACAATTTCTTTACATTGCTATCTGTGGAAAAGGAGTATAAGATTGCTTTGAAGATAGTTGTGTAGATGCTTGAGTCAGTCCCAGACAGATACAGCACACATGTATATAATCTCAGGATATTCTGCAAAAGAAACTGAGAGAGGTAGGATGAATATATTGAGACACCAAACAAGACATCTAAAAATGAAATCTAAATAGTTATGTAGACTCTGTTTCTAATCTTTGCACAGCAAGAATTTAGAAGATTA